CCCCAAAACCCCAAAACCCCAAAACCCCAGAAGAAGATAAAAGTGGACAAAATTCTATATAATAATTAAATTTGAAATGGAAGATATCCAAAAGTAAGTTTAGAGTGGATTTTAGAGGCTTTAAAGATATTTTAAGGCTTTATAGCTGGTAATTTACCCAGAGAGATGGGCAATTGATTTTTGGAAGGGAGAAGGGTCTTTTGTGAGAGAATTTTTTATTAAGATATTAATAAAGGTTAGATACATGAGTATTTGACTGATTTCATATTAATTTTTATCGAATATTTGGATTATAATGCCTAATTTTAGGATGAGCAAAAACTTCACCATCAAATGAAAATTAAATATTATCATTACTTTATTGTTAATGATAATACTGAACACGCATGCAGAGACAAACTGTATAGATGGCTTTTTCCTGAAATAACTCCAAATGCTTCAAATGACATATTTCTTGAAAGGCTTGAGAAAGTTACAATAGTAAGATACTATAATTATTTTTACATTACCTCGTATTTTCAAGACAAGATCTACTAAACTTATTTTATGGAGCTTATGATCTCTACTTTTGGTCGTTCCTGATCAAACTATTTTAAGAAGCATTAAATTTGATTATAATTACTTTACTTAGGTTGAACTATATGCAACGATAACTTTGTAAAAAATGGTACAGATTTTGCATAACCTATAGACACATCGACTAGGTGAGACTATTCTGGATGACCAGATGGTGAGTACTATTCAGAATCTGGGGGTGCATGCACCTCTTGTGGATCTAGCTGTAATTTTCTGTGAGCTTACCAATCGCATTGCCTGAGTTGACCATCTGGGGAATTCTTAGATCTTGATACAATGACTTGTGTTTCAACATGAAACTCTACCACACAAATACAGATTTCAGATGCTCAACTCAATAACGTTCCACTCTGTAGAAGTTTCGTCTACTACGTTGATCCTTTGAGTGCAAGCCCAGTTGAGCTGGGTACTTTGCAGCATCCATACAAGGAGCTTGAGTCTGTACTCGTTGAATTAATGAATTTTCACACCAACAATGGCAGAAGTATTACAGTCAATATTATGGAGAGCTCAATTAATTACATCACAGTTTCAAATACAATTATTTCAAACTTGACTTCTGTGAGATTCCAATCATACTCTAAAGTAAACTCTGATCCTAATTTGGCCATTATCGAGGCTTTAGATGCAGATTCTAAAAGAATTCAGGCTGGAGTGCCAACAAAGTATAATATTTTAGGTGAGAAATCTGAACCTTTATTCTCCATATTTTGAATACTTTCTACGTAGCCTAACTTATAATTATTCTGCGCTTTAGGGAACAAAGACTCTCTTATTGAATCGAAGATCTACACAAACTCTGGATTTAGTGCTGATGAGATAGAAAATATCCAGAAGGCCACTTCTGCGTTCCTGTCTCATAGAACCTCAATCTACATGAACAAAATAATGTTCACCACAGATTACACTAGTCTGGTGACCACTACAATTTATTTTAACGTGATGAGTGAGAAAGCACATGAGTTCAAGATTACAAACTCTCATATCAAAGTGGCTGGACAGATGATGTTCACCTGGAATCCCATCCGCCTCTCGTTCCAGAACGTTGACTTTGATTACTCAATAACCAGGTATGGAGTTTGGCTCAGGAACTCAGTCGGCACTATTGAAGAACTCTCCAAATCCTATTTGATCTGAGACACTGCTAGCTTCTACTTCTCAGAACCCAAGAGGAGAGATATCGGCCAGAGGCATATAATGATTCTCTTCGGACCAGGAGACTGTATTTTGACAAATATTAATATATCAATTTATTCTTCAAACGAAGACTCCATGATCTCGCTGGGTAGAATCTTTCATTATGGGACTGGAATTTATACAAAAAGGTTTAAGCTCCAAGTGAGCAATATCTACATAACCAATCCTGAATTTGACACTACGACTGTCAGAGACAGCCCAACTCTTGTGAGCTTCGATGGATCTAGATATGGATTAGAGATGGACTATGAGTTTTCAAATATCACTATTGACAGAGTTCATGGAGGAGGAACATGGCCTTTATTAAGATTTAACCCGAGACCTACTGCTAATGTCAGTGTCTCTGATATTACTATTAAGAATGTTGACAGCACTTTACCAGTCATAAGTTTCATTGAAGGGAGAGCCTTCAATCTTACCAACATACAAATTATAAACTGTACTATATATAGTTCCGGAGTGGTCACTATCACCGCAATTGAAGCTTTAATAATGAATAATTTCATATTCAAGAATCTGACGCTCACAGGCTCATTCACAAATGATGTAATCATGCTGGTAAAGTTCGACTTTAATTTTTAGGAAGGCATAGAAAATACAGTTTTTGATCTCAACGACTTCCAGCTAGATCAAGTAAAGATTGAAAGTGCAAGGAGCATTCTATTTTTAAATTCCCAGACAAGCTTAATTGTCAGCACTAATCGTCTATCTGTCAATAATACTGAGCTGAATGAAGGGATAGCAGTCCTTATGCTAGGGAAGGTGGTTACAGCAAATATTGATGGGATAATCTTCAGAAATATATATCCAGGAGCTTCTACAGACACATCTAACTACATGATTAGTCTGACTGAGATGGAGTCTAATGGAAATAGTTCTCTGATTTTCTCTGGACTAGACTTCCAAAGCTGCACGGTGAACGGCTTTATTATCGGCAATTCTAAACAGATAGGGATAGAAAATCAGAATATTACAATTAAAAACTCTGTAATCGCGAATCTGAATTATGAATTCTTTGGAGATCTCTTCGTAACAGATAATGTTCAAGCAACTATCCCATTCAGAATTGCTTTTGAGTATGTTACATTTAGCAACATTCAGTTTCAGAGAGGTGGAAACTTGATGAAGCTTGGCCACCAACATGAAGACTTCTTGGAAATAAACCATTGAGTGTTCAATAATATTTACAACGCAGGTATTGATGTTTCCGCATACTTCTCAGGCTTAGCTGAGACAAAGAAAACCAAAGTAAAGCTTTTGAATGTAACTACAAACACATTCCAAGCTAATTCTCGAAGATTTTTGATTCTCGGAGAAGGAGCCCAAGTTGAAGTCCATAATTCCACTTTCAGAGGAATCAGCTCTGTGAGAACTGGAGCTGTTATCTATGCTGGACCGAGAAAAGCTTCCATTGAATGATTCACAACAAGCTTCTACAATAATACTGCTCTTGATGGGGGTGTGTTCAGCTCTACATCTGAAAGCTATGTAAAATGTACCAACTGCACTATCTACAACAACCATGCAGTTTCAAATGCAGTTGTGAAAGTAGAGGAAAATGGATATTTTATCTTTGAGAATAGCAGAATATTCTCCAATTTCGCAAGCAAGAGGCCGATTGGAGAGATATTTTCAACGTCTTTTGAATCAACTATCAGTAACTGAACAATTGAAGGAAATATTGTTTTAAGCATTAGTAAAATGAAGACTTTATTGTCAACCCAAGGTAAAATCCTCAGTGCCACAATTTAAGAATCTTCCAAAATTCAGATACTCGTGTTATATTATCCATAAGTTAGATTGTCCTTTGCTAAACTTCAAGGCTAAATATAAGATTATAAATACATTTATTTCGAGAATAGCTCATTAATCTCCATAAATTGTAATTAGATCCTAACAAGCTTATAGAGTCTTTGACAAGCACATTTCTTACCCAGGCAGACACTGAATTTGCAACATTTGCAGAGAGCTATACTTCTTTTGCACTTGAAGTGGCTTCAGGAGGTTTGGCTCTCAACTCTAAAACTATGCTGACATCTCAGGACTACTTCCTATACATTGTCGATTCTGCTGCAACAGTTGATGACTGAGAAATAAGAGACATAATAGCAAGCAAAAACTACTTGAATATTGTTCAGTCAAATTTGACCCTGTCTAATACAGTGATCTCCAATATTTCCAGTTCTGAGATCTTCATAGCAGTTTCTGTTGGCGGGTTGGAGGTTGATAATGTCAAGTACACTCATGCAAACAATGACTTTTTAAGATCAGCTTACTCGCAAGTGACAGTAAAGTATTTTAGTAAGGTTATTTTAACATTATTTAGCCATTGATAGCGTAGTTTGTAAAGAAAACTGACTCGCCTTGAGAAGCTCAAGCATTCTAGAATACAGTCATTCAATCTTCACTGCAGTAACTTCTAATAGCCATGGGCTTAATGAAATTGTTGACTGAACTGTTAGTTTGATCAACAATTTAACTCTTCATGAGACTGTTTCTTCAGTCCTTTTGATCAAATTTTCAAAAATCGACACAATAAAGCAATTGAAGATTTATAAATGTACATCTTGATTCCAACTTATCCTTAGTAATGTATCGAAAATTGAAGATTCAGTTTTCAAAGAAAATGGGATCTCTTCTTCTTTAAAAGGAGGAGCCTTATATAGTCAATACAGTAATCTGACGATTACTAGCTCTATTTTCAGCAATAATGTTGGCTTGAATGGTCCAGCTATTAAAATATTGTGCTCTAGCTCGAATCCATGAAATAGCTCAATTGAGAATAATATTTTTCAAAGTAACACTGCGACATCCAAGGGTGGTGCAATTTATTACAACTTCAACAGGCCACAGATGATCAATAACACTTTTATCAACAACTCAGCTGCTTATGGAGTCAATGTTGGGAGCTACCCAATTTCGATTGTTCTGAATTCCACGAAGAAAGACTCGCTCATTCTAAATGATGTTGGAAGTGGAATTGAGTACACTAATGATCTCACATTTGCCTTAATCGATCAAGATGGCCAGACAACTATTCTAGACGATTTATCAACTCTAAAGTTTAACCCTATATCTCCAAATGCATCTCTTTCTGGGACTGACTTTGCTAAGGTGACTAGAGGGGTTGGATCCTTCAGTGAGATATCGTTCAACAGTAATCCTGGAGACCAAAATGTACACTTCAGAATTACCTCAGCTGCTATAAGCACTTACTTTGATATTTCAATCTCATTTAGGTACTGCAAGCCTGGAGAGTATCATGACATAAATGGAAAGTGAGTTGTATGTCCCTATAAATCCTACACTTTACTTTGGAACCAGGCCAAGTGAGACTCATGCATGGATCATGCCACTTGTCTTGGAGGAACAGAAATCTATGTTGATAATGGATTCTGGAGGAAAACTCCTAATTCAACTGAGATAATTAAGTGCCCAAGAGAGGATTCATGACTTGGGAAGTATGTCCCAGGCATTGAAGAGCCAACTGAATGCGCTCCTGGGTATAATGGATTACTATGAGCTGTCTGTGTCATTAATGATGATGTGAAATATCAACCACTCTCAAATTTTGAGTGTTCGAAATGTCCCGATCCTTTTTTGAATTTAATTCGTGTTATTGGAGTAGTAATACTAGCTTTCTGTTTCGTTACAGCAATTGTTGTAGTAAATATTAAGAAAAAGAAAGAGAATAATTTCTCAGTTCTATTGAGGATCTTTACAAATTACATACAGTTGATAACAGCATCATTATCTTTCAATGCAAATTTACCATCTGTGTTCACAGACTCTTTTTCCAACACTGACAGAATTAGTGCTCCTAACGAGTCATACTTTTCTTTTGATTGCTTTGTAAGAGATTATGAAATAAAGGCTTTTGCTCCAAACAGCATGTTACTTAAGCTATTCTTATTCCTCTTGCTACCTTTATTCTTGATGATGATCTACTTAGTTATCTTTGGAGGCTTGAAGCTATCGATGAGGCTGATGAACAATAACAGGCAGATTGATACTACCAGATATATGGTAGTCACATTAGTGTGCATTATTTTCATATTCCACCCAAGGATGTCATTTGAATCAATGTCACTGTTCCAATGTGAGCAGGTAGATAAAGATGACTTTAGAATGAGAAACTACCTTGAATACAGATGCTATTCTTCTGACCATTTGTTGTGGATAGCCATCCTTGCAGTTCCGATGCTGGCTTTGTGGGTGATTGGTATTCCTGCCTTTGCACTATATGTTTTGATCAAGCATCGCAATGAACTTGAGAGTACTTTTATTAAGAAATACTTCCTAGTAATTTACCAGGGTCTCAAACCAGATCGATTCTACTGGGAATTCGTGAATACGATGAGGAAGTTAATAATTTTGTGTTTCAATGTCTTGTTGTTCAGATACAGGGTGGAATACAGACTTCTATTTGGGATGAGTAAGACAAAGCCCAATTATCTTCTCAGAAATAAATTTTAGTTGGTTTTTATACATTTCTTTCATTGTAATTTATACTTTTAAGCCGTTATTTCTATTAAAGTCTAACCAAAATATAGTGGTTCTATACTTATTCATCAGACTTCAAGTAAGAATGATGCCATACAAGAGAGAAGAGAATAACCAGATAGAAATGCTTTCTCTTGCTGCTGGAGTTATCACCCTATCTTCAGGTATTATATTCGTTACTGAAGAGGATGCTTTCGGAATGTTCAAAATATTACTAACAATGATTATTTTCATTATAAACTCATGGTTCCTCTTAGTATGGTTCTACCTATTGCTCTGCTCTCTTGGGATCCGTAATGAGAAGTTTCTCAAGCTCCTTCAAATTTATGGAACGTTCATCACTAAGAACTACAAGAAGCACTTGGAGGAAGAGATTGAAGCCAAATCATTGATCAAGAAGAAATTGAGAGTTTTTGGAAGAAAGAATCGGAGAAACAAGAAAGGAACTGGGAAACAGCAAAAGGTGTACAAAGGACACCTTATTAAAAGTAGGGTTATTACTTCTAGTATATTTGGGTCCAAGCTGTATTTTATAACGATGAGGGAGGTTCAAATTTAGCCCAAGTGTTATCTGGGGTTGAAGTTGGGATTTCTAACTTAATTTTGTAGGAAAACGATCAAACAGAGAAGAGGTTGGTCATAGTTAGTAGCTCTGGGATAATTTTGATTCTATGAATGGTGGTCATTTTTATAGAGAAAGAAGGAATCAAGGAAGGAGAGAAAAGTTAAACAATTCAATGGTAAAGCTTTACTCTTATTGTTTAGAGAAAATTAAGATAATAGATGAAGAGAGTAGCCAAAATCTTGGAAATCTTCCCAAGAATAATTTTGCTCATAGTCTAGTCCCATCCAGGAGTAGAGGAAAGCTCAGATATCAAAGAAATAAGAAGGATATCAGTATGCAAGATAAAGAGGAGATAGCAAATACTTCACATCCTCTTCGTATCTCTCCATTTCATATGGAAGAGGAGGAAAATTCAGATTTATCTCAGAGTTCAGTTAACTTACAAGAGTAATATAATGGTGTTAATTCTAGTTTGAATATATCTGAGCAACTTAAGGACCAAAAGAATGAGGCTCATCATCATTCGGATCTTACCAATATCTTACCCCAAGTAAGTCAATGAACCCTAGTATAGGTTTCACCTAATCATGCGATGCCCGTCATACACGAATAATCAAGACCGGACAAATTATAAGTATCTAATTCTTTAAGAACTTCACTTATTTAAATGTAAAAATGCATGAGCTTGATTTTATGAGGAGGGCTACTTCCTTATAAGCTAAAATGAATGCATCTTAACATGAATTTATTTTAAAACATCTGGAGCTTTCGTTAATCTGTGTTTGCATATCTACTTTAAAATTCCATTGAGTTTTCAGAACATTCTAGAATATAGAAAGCTTAAATAAACCTCTGAGCACAAATTTATAGCAATGGAACTTAGAAATATGTCAAGATAAATCATTTAAATTATTTTAGAAAATGACTCAAATCAATTTAGTTTGTACAACCTAAGTAATTTTTTATAATGGAGCTTAACATGTCTTAACTTGGAAATTCTGTGAAAACTTGAAGAAGCACACAAAAAAAGGTGCTAAAATAATTTTTGATGATTAAATATAATTATTCAGCTTTGAGATCATACCCTGGGGTTTTGGGGTTTTGGGGTTTTGGGG